CATGAAAGTGAAATAGTGCTTCAGGATCTTTTGGGACCAAGGTGGATGAACGGGTGCTTGGGGGTGAGCATGTCCATGACGAGAATGGGAGTGTTTGGAGGATGTTGCCTGTCACGGCATCCCAGAAATACAACGTGCGCGGCAGTGCTACTGTGTCATGACTTCCCTGAGCACCATTGCTAGTCAGGGCCCAGAGGACAACACTGAGAAATAATTTGTTTTTTATAGCATTGAACTTCTGTGCAATATTTTGTGCTTCCATTTTGTCACTGCTAGTTTTTTGTTATGATGCTCACATCCCCCAGAGAAGTTTAGGAAGCTGGGCTAGGATTGCTTTCTGCTTTGAAACAAAATGATCTTTATAACTTACAGTTTGTATTTCCTTTTTTTTTTTAAAGGCTTGCCATGGAATCCACTAAACTTTCTTTCTTTTGCTCTCAAATCCTTGCATCTGTTAGGGAAACACCTGTGCAGCATGCATACAGAAATATATATTAAACATCAAAAGAAATTCTATAGCTTGGAAGCATGTTTTCTATTGTATAACTTAGAAGCAAAAAGTCACAAAGATTCTACTTCAGGAATGTCAGAGCATTTCTGATGTTTTAACTGTTTTCACCCCATGTAGCAAGTCCTTACCAAACCTCTCTGGGGCCAAGAAGGTCCGTGTCTTCTGTACGGAGGTAAGCCGCAAAGATGCTTGTGTTCCCCATAGTGCCCTACCAGGTGGTCCTCTAAAGACTGAGGTAGTACTCTGATCCCGTGGCTATGTCTTTCCCTCATTTGTTAGTGGAAGATCGTTTCAGTAAAGTTGTAAAATAGCATTTAAAGGATCAGAAAACCCACCTTGTTTAAATATGTTCAGTCTCTCCAGAAGGTTAGAATTTTGACTCAGATAAATATTGCACAGTTTTGGCATTAATCTGGAACTTTATCTGAACTACCTGATCCTTCTGTGTCTATAAAAATTAAGTTGGAAATCTTGAGAGCAGTTTGTAACCTTGGTAGTTCAAAGACATGCTGTAAATACAACAAGGTCAGTGTTCTGCTGTGGCATTTCAATGCTGGGAAAAGTGGCAACCAAAGAAGAATTGTATAAACATTTTAAAATGTTTTTGAAATATATAGCATAGGCTTGGTTCATAGTATGATCAAAACCTGGTTTGACTTCAGTTTTTGAAAATAGCTTAACTTCTGCCAAAACGCCTGTTTTTCATGTTTTTTCAATGCTTATTCAACACAGCAGAGGTTCAACAAAAAGGCCCTGGGGCATGTTACTCTCAAACTCCAGCTTACAAAAGTCAGTTAAGCCTTCAGTGCCATGTTATCACAAGGCCTCCTGCTATCATGCCTGTGCAAAGGTTGCAGCATTAATGAGGTATGAGAGCAGGTTAACTGCTAATCCAAGGTGTGTGCTAAATTCCTCCCTTAAAATAAGGAACTCAAATACTCAAGCACTTCATTAACTTAAGAATAGGAACACGCAGCTCCAAAGCTACCTCAGAAGCATATTTTGACCAATTCGGAAACCAAAGATATATTGCGGAGAATTAGTCTTGGGCAAATTTAAACCTCTCTAAGAGTTACATGTAATATAAATACCTTCTTTTCCTCACTCTTCTTGACCAGGAGTAGGCCATGTGCAAAAGCACACAAGTTTTTCATCGAGGCAGGGATTTTAGGATCTTTACCGGTAAAAATAGGGCAGGACTGAAGTCCTTCTTGGAGGAAAAATGGCAACTGAAAAGTGACTGTGGATTTTAGGCATTGGTTGCTGTGTTCCTGGTCTTAAGAACACAGGCTGTTGATGAATTTCATACAGAAGAGAGTACTTGGAAAAAAAAAGAATCTCTTTGGTGTTCTTTTTTATTGCTGCAATTGAAACCGGGGCAGCTCAGAATGCGTCATTCACTGATACCTTTGTATATGACTCAAACAATACAATTTTAAGAGAATTTTGGCAGATGAAGAGATTTTTTTCTTAACTCATACATCATAAGATGTATGCTTAGTGGCTGGTAGATTCACACAGTTTAAAAATACACACTGAATTCTGTTTTTCATTTTAGTTTTGCAGTTCATCTTTCTTGTTGGAATGCAGTAAGCATTACTGCAACTGCAGCACAGCGTCTTATGATGGTCCCTGAATAGCTTCTGGACTAGAGGATTTGCATATCAATTCCAGAATATGATGAGTGGTATTTGAAATCTGGGGTAGCGATCCTACCAAATTAAATAAAAGAAGGGATCAACTCAAGCATAATCACCGATGGCTATGTAATTAAAAATCTGACTGAACACAAAAGCCTTATGTAGTGCAGCGTGCATTTGTGGTTGAGCTGTTAGGAAGATTCAAAGTTCTCAGCTGGAGTTTATAGAGTGAGATGATTTGGGTCCGGCCCCATAAGACATTACGTTTGCTGCATGTAGGTTATTTCATTGTGTTAATCTGAAGGTCTGTAGGAGACAGTAGGTCCCGTTAGGGAGAGACCTCTTGAGAGAGAGTGAGAGATAAGAATACAAGTAGTGCATGTTTTAGCAGTATTTCACTATTTTACCCTTTAGTGGCTTTTTAGAGATTTTTATTCCATGGATCCTAGTGCATTTCATTTTCAGCACTGAGCGAGCTGTATGTTGGTTTCTTATATGTATACACAATCAAATTTTATTTAGTGGTTATCACTTGCTCTCAAGGTGAGAAACAAGCGTTTTATTCCTAAATAAGCTCTTTCAGTGCCTGTGAGAGATGTAATATATGGGAAATTAGTTCAATTGAAGAGGAAGGTTGTGTCAATGGGAAGATTTTCACACCAAAAGTCTGTCACAAAATATGAGTTATTATTGTGGCTACATTTACAAATTGCTGTCAGACTGGTACTGAATAGTATTAATATGATTGTTTAGGGCAGTGCACATTTAATTATTAGCTGACATGATACAATGCTATTATTTCTTCTGGATCTAAATACTTCTATTTAAAGTGTTTCTGCTACTGGGATTTTCAGGCAGCTATGTCTGTACAAAGCCTTCTCCTTTGAACAGGGAACTGAAGAATTTCCTGTCAGAGTAAGCAGGAGACCAGACTGCTACATAAAAAAGCATGTGAAACAATATCAATGTCTTGGCATAAATATTCCAGAGCAATTTATACAGAATACTTGTAAGAACTTCTTTAATACCCTCTGAAAGGCATCTGTTTTAAGGATGGGATGATACAGGAAAAAGAGTTCGGTTCAAGGAGAACACACAGCTGAAAACTTGGACTGAATGTCATTTGGTGGAGCATGCTAAGTATTCAGTGGAATTCACTTGGATCATGGATATAGCTATCATGGAGAGCGTGCTATCTTTTGCAAGTGCCATGGGATCTCCAAGGTGGGACTACAGTCTTACCTCTTGTCTGCAAAATAGTAGTGTTGGGTTCACGTAGACCATCTGAGGCTTTGATTTTTTTCAATATGACTGAAGAGCACTAATGCCAGCATTTTGCTCTCTTTCTTTCCATGCCTGATTTTCTTAGGTGAAGGAGTTTGAAATAAAGTGCAAAATGATAGATTTTTGCAGTATCACAGTTTGGGGAGGTTGGCCTGTCTACTGTAGTAGTTCAGACTCTTGGCAGCAAGTTCCGCATATTTGTGCTTTAAATAAAAGCTGCTATTTCTCATCGCTCTTTCTGACCCTGAAGCAGTGAAAACAATCTGTTCTCCCTGTGAAGCACTGAAGCTGTGTGGAACTGGAACAAATATAAATACAGTTATATGTTATAAATCAGTGAAAGATTATGAGAGAAAATTAATTGGAGGAGAGTCTAGACCAAAAGAAGAGATGGCCACAATGCTAGCATTTCTAAATCAACAAAAGGCTGATGTTTTGGAAAACAGGCTACTTGATTCAATGACGAAGGGAAAACAACAGTTAGAAATAAAAAACTAATATATACAAAACAGGAAATGGAGAATCTAGGTAGCATTAGGATATTGTAGGAATAATATAAACTCAATAAAGCATTTTAAGACCTTCTGGGACAAGTCCTTGGGTAGAAAAACTCCAGGACTCCATGGAGTTGAAAGATGTCTCCACATGGAGTACAGAGATCCCTACCCGAAGGCAGGTCAGATCCAATCGACCTTCGTGTCGGAAGGCCGCGCTCCCGACACTTCCAGCCCAGGACTAGCTTTCACGGAGCCACCTGCAGTGTCAGTAGCCAGCGTTCAATGGCATGGTCCAGGTCAGAGCCATGACTTGATACAAACGGTATGATCATTAATAATCACAGTACTGCTTGTAAGTATTTTTCTATCCTTAGAACATTCGGGTTAGCATAGCAATGCAGGAGGAGAAAGAGTTGTTAGGGAAACTAAGCAAGCAGTAAATATGTTGGCACATCTTAGACTTTTTGTATATGGGTTAATTATTAAAAAAACCACACCGCACTGTTAGTTGTTTATTTCTGAAAATGATGAAGTGAAATATCATTGACTCTTTCAAAGTTTTTCTGTCTGTTTTTGGCTGAAGTTGTTAGGGGAATTTATCCAAGTGTTGCAAAGATACTGTGCAAAGCCATATCAAAGGGGCTGGTAGGATTCTTGGAGGTGCAAGCAGGTGAAACCAGAGTAGATGCACTTAGCTCTGAGTACCACAATGGTGAGACAATAGTATACGTTGCATGCAGGTCTGATCTAGACAAGTTTCAAAAGGTGCTGAAAAACTGATGAAGCTGCAGAAAGTGTGAAAAGATAACGCATGGAGTGTACAGGTTGTACACAACATGGAACCTACATTAAAAGTCATACCTAAATAATATTTTGCTTTTTCATCTGTTAAGGAATGCATAAAAATTTGCAGATTCTCCATGCTGCAAACCTAGGCTTTTCACAGCATTAATGAGATTTATTATATGTGTTTCAGTGATGATTCTGATGACTGAATTAGCTTGCTGATTAACTGCTGGACAGCTCATTAATTTTTCACTGCACTTTTTTTTTTCTTTTTCCTTCTAGGTTTATGATGAATGTGACTTGGGAAGGTAAAGATTTGTCCTTCACAGCAGATGGCTATCAGGCACATCCCCGGCTGGTGGTAATAGTACTGAACAATGATCGTGAGTGGGAAAAGGTGAGTATTATCCCTGGGTGAAAGATAAGAGGAGATAGGAGAGAGTTGCTGCAACCCTCTTAATGACAAATAGACAGATTAACATCGCAGATGTCAGTGATGATATTCTACTGTAACAGATTTGTCACAACAGTTCAGAAAAGATAGATAATTTTACCTTATTCTGTTTACCTATTCTAAGTAGATCTAAAGAGTTCTAACAGGGAAAGCAACGTATCAGTGAAGGTATGCCATACAGATACCAGACGATTATTTTGAAACACACTTTGCATATCTTCTCACAATTTAGTAAAATGAAATGGATGACTGAAAAATCTCTTGAAACTTGGGTCTTAGTTACTTAAATCTGGGTGATTTTCCAATATGAACACAGTCCAGGAGCCCTTCGACTATTTCTTTTGTTTTCATATTTTTCAATAGATTTGATAATAGAAGTATATTTTTGCAAACCATGAAATTGTTTTTGAATTGAAGGGTAATCCTTATAAAGTATGCCTACAGATTCAGAATCTTGACTTGTGTTCTCCTGGTAGGCAGGTGATCTCCATAAACCTTTATACAGATTGAAAGGAAAATGTACTGTAGAGAGTAAATATTGTTATTTTCTTAGATATGTGATAAAGAGGCAGAGTGCAGTGACCTATAATCTAAACATAGTGTGGGACTGAGCCTCCACATCTTCCCTATTGAAAATGAATTTACTGAGGCCAGGTTCTGCTACCTATTTTTGTGTATTTGAAAAGAATGGAAGGATCATGCTTTTGTGTGTGTAGTCTGCAAGAGATGTATATTTTAAATCCTCCGGGTTTTAACAGCAGGGTTAGTTGTATATGTAAGTAATAAAAGAGGACAGTCTCCGTTTGTCCTGAGCATTTTTTTTTTTTAATACTGCTGCCTCAGCTTGTGATTCCTTTGGCTCTGAGGTTTTGCAGGTTATCTGAGGTCTTATGTTTTAAGAACAGGGAACCTTGGAAAGTGTTTACAATTTAAGACCCTGGAATGAAAAAACACCTGTATATTCTCCCAAATTCATTTTAAGTTCATAAAATGTGATCCTGCGTTATCAAATTTGCTGCTGAAATCTATAGACTCTTTTGTCGTATAGTTTTAAAATCCAATAAAATGTTAAACTCTGGTTTGTAAGACTGCTGGACTTTTAATGATGTTGAATAGTAATGATAAAATATGAATTACTGTAGGACATCTAAGTAAACATGCTAGCCATGCAAAAACATAAAAAGTAGTCCTAGATCATGATATGTGCTTCTTGAGGTTCATCAGATGCAAATTTAATTCTCTAGATAAATTTAATCTTAACCAAATGCGTCAATCTGAATCTTTGGAAGAATCTTTTGCTCAGTAACCATTATGAACATTTTTTATGCTAGTTTAAAATTCTGCATATCATATATAATATTCTGGAGAAAAATGTTATACTGCATGGGGAATATGACTGTGAGGCACCAAAGGGAGAAAATAGTTAAAGACAGAGTCGCCAATCCTAACGGAATCATAATTTCATACTTTTTATATCTTGAAATTTCTCTTAAGAGACCATTCAAAGGACAAGGGGAAATTGGTTTGATGTTTTTGAAAAATGAGCTAATAACAGCTCAGCTAACAAATCAGAAATCCTGGCTATATGAACAGGCAATATTTCAGAGAAATAGCTGGGGCCTGTTCTAAGCTTGGTGTGATTCGCACGCGAGAGCGGAGGACGCGCCGCGGGCTCTGCTCTGTGCGGCCGCGCGGCGGCAGCGCCCGGCCCGTCCGCTGCGCCGGGCTCCGTGGAGCCTCGTGCTGACGTCCTCTGGGCAGTTTTGGGTCTGGTAAATCCCTACCTGCTCATTGCTATTTTTGAGGCTTTTCTGGGGGGAATAAGGAGTGACTGAAGGGCGGCTGCTGCCCAGAATAATTTATGCACCTACGTCTGGCAGCCCCGTCGCTCTAGAGCCCTGCTGGCAGCAGGCTGGCTGAGGGATTTGCGGGGAGGCAGCCTGCCTCTAGCTGCAGCTTTCGTGTCTGCTTGCCCATTGTAGGACTGTGGGACGGAGGCCAGGTTTACATATGTCACGGGAGAAGAGAAAGGTGGCTGGATTGGGCTGTCATCGCTGGACTTATTCTTGTGACAAGCTGATCCTTGCCTGCATGGAGGAAGACAGATAGACAAATTATCCTGGCACGCTGCTCTTGGCCGTATTTGGGCACCCCAGATGTACAGCAGCAGAGTTTCATTATGTGCTTTAGAAATAATAGAAGAGTTCCTCCGACTCAGAGACCTGAAAAGGTCCTTGCCCACCCCACCAGTTTATTCGAACCTGTTTGTAACGCCGTCTTCATATGCTTTTCAAGTTTCTTTTCTCGCCCCATATCTCTTAGCAAATTTCTTTCTCCTGTTTCTTTCTCCTTGTGGCAGCTGTTCTCAGTTTTAAGACTGTCTAGGTTGGAGATCATCTGATATCCAAGGTTTCCTGCTTTGAGTTTCCGGACAGGTGCATGCTTTTACTTGCAATTACGCTATTTCAGTGAGTTTCACAGATTTGTTCTATTGAAGTGTTATTAAATAGCCTCAATCCTATATGGAAAACACCAACTCCAAGCATCTAGTAAAATGATTTACTCCTGTGAAAAAACTGATAATTCAACAGTCTGCTAATCCTTGTAACGCAACTAATGTACATAGAAATTGCAAGTAGTTTTTTTTGATTATTTATTTACTCAGTCTCCTCCTGAAAATACAAGATGTAATATGAAAACTCAATTCAGTTTCCTTTGGCTTTAGTATAATAATCTGCTTTTACTTAAATACAATTTTTCCTTGATCTCGAAATTGATGTACTTGACTCAAGGCTTGAGGTTATAGAAAATCCATTAAAGCATAGCTGAAGAGCGCACATCTTACCGCTAGGAAAATAAGTTCCTTTTACCTTTACAAATGACTCAACATCAAAACTTTGAAATGGAAACTTCCCACATAAATGGGGTTGACTGAGGGATTTGTCCCATATCTGATTCTGAAAAAAGCTGGTTGGCTGATAATAGTTTGGAGAATAAAAATCACTTCTGGGCATTTTCAGCAGGCATCCAGCAAGATATTTTGACAGATCCTAAAGCAGCTGCTCAAACTTCTGACATCAACATTCATATTCTTTCTGCTAATCTTGACAGCCTGCTGTTCTCAGGCAAGAGAGTTTTAATAAGACAAGTTTAATGTACGTGTTTCAATGAAACTCGATAAATTTGCCTGAAGTACCAGTGTTGCCTAAATACCACCAGGGCGCCGCAGGGACGCTGCGAGCTCTGCCAGCTGCAGCGCCCCGCCGGTGCTCCTCTCCGCGTGGTGTGGCTCTCGCCCAGCCTCTTACCTTCACTCGTTTCAAACTCCACAGTCCTTTTTTTTGAACTTGGAAGACTAATCGGGAATAAAACCTATCAATCCAATATTAAAATTGCACACTGGAGTATACTTAGCAGTGGCTAAATTAGGCCAGCACAGGCACTTTAATTAGCTGTGTGTATCATATATGTTAAACAAGGCTGGGAAGACTGTATTGCAGTTGAAGAAGAGTGTTTTACGCATATAAAGATGAGTACCAGAATAAAACAGTTTGCACTAGTGCTCCCAGAGAGGTGTAGATAAAATTACTATTATTGCCTGTATTTCCTTCTCTTTTCTGAGAATTCCAGTTGTTGCACTAATACTGGCTAAAGTTGAAGGTTAAAGTTTGATTTCTTCTTTACCTTTGTGAGCACGAGTGCTTCCCGCAAGTTACAGTCTGTGTGACATTACTGGCCATGTTTGGGTTATGTGAAAAACTGCTGATGTAGGGAAGGAAGTTTGCACCTGGCCTCTCCTGCGCGAAGGAGTGATTCTAAGGGCTGGGAGAATTTGTGAGATGTGAAAATTTAACATTTTTGTAGCCAATAAAATTTTATGACAAGCAAGAGTAACAGATAATTCATAGCACAGTTGCTAGTTAAATGTCATTGCAAGAATCATTACTTCTTATATCCAGGTTTATTATAAGTGTAACCAATCATCTTTAACTTTGTATTAATGTAGCATTTAATGTGGAACTAGATTTTGCTCTGATTAACTTGCATATGCTGGATTTGTGAGCTTTGGGGCAGGTGGTACGCAATGCTTGTACCTAAGCAGGAGTGAGTGGGCAGAAGGTGTGCAACCCCTGCCTGGGGTAAATGAACCGCGTTCTTCACGGAGAGATCCATCTGCCTGCTAACATCGAGTCCCATGTAGCCGAGAGAAGACAGCTCTCGTGTGTAACGTTAGAGGTGAAACTTCACTGGACAAACATTACACCAGGTCAGATTTCTTACAGTGCTTTGTATCAGAGAATTGTGATAATAAAAAAATCACGGTTCAAAAAATTACTCATAGTTCAGGGTGATTTCTCAGGAAGACTCAGTTGCATTCAGAGCTGATGTCATGACAGCTGAAAAATCATGGTGCCTCAGGACAGACATTCATTACAAGTTATAAAGAAATGTATGTATATGCTTTAACTAGGACAGCTGAAAATGTGCGATCCATTTGCTGATAAATATTTTGCCTGTGACATACTGTAGCTCTGTGGCCTAATATGATGCAGTAAGGTTTTTAAGCAGATCTTTACATCTTGCATAGCAGATACGATGCAGCAGTATGATCTTTAACATTTGTTATGTTGTCATTTTCTTTGTTCCATACTTGTTGCTTAGTATATTTGTTCTTACGGTAGATATGCCTATCCTGACACTTATTGTTGAGTATATCATTTCTGCAGCAGTGAGCTTTGGTTGGCTTAAAGGTGCTTCCTTTGACCTGTGCTGTGCTGAATGCAGTCTGAATTGCAGCAGTTATTCTGCAGCATTTCTTAAATGCTGTAATCCTAAAAACGGATGATGGTTCCCTCGGTTGCTGCAAAGGAATTGTAACTGTCTTGCAGAGGAGCGGTGAAGTGTGCTTTGCTCCTGTGCTTTACAGCTAGTACTGGAGAGGA